GTGTGCGTGCGTGCGTGCGTGCGTGCGTGCGTGCGTGCGTGCGTGCGTGCGTGCGTGCGTGCGTGCGTGCGCGCGTGTGCGTGTGCGTGTGCGTGTGCGTGTGCGTGTGCGTGTGCGTGTGCGTGTGCGTGTGTGTGTGTATGTGTGTGTGTAGGGTTATATATTTTAGGTTTTATATCAGCATATTGTACATAGCGTACTTTCAGATAGCGTGAGGATTCTAAAGGCCACGATGCAGCTGACAGTCGTAAAGAAATAATTTTATATGTTCAACAGAGTATAGAGTGCCATAACAGCTTTTACAGTCAGGAGACAGCATAGTGAATCGATACTGCATCAATAAGTGAAGCTGATTGTACATGTCCACGCACACATATAATAGGGTCGTCCCGGCATTTACCGACACCCAGTACTACACCCACACCCATAAGTGCTTACTTAATGGCCTCCTGCTCAAACAACGCGTTCAATACTTTTTTGCATAGTGTCTTTTGAGCGAACGTACGTCATCGCAAGTATCTAAAAACTCGTTTTGCTGTGGATTAATTTCATGATTGGCTGTGCGATACCTCTATGCAATTTTTATAGTAAAAGTAACGCATCTAATAATATAACTTCCGAGCATCTGATCAGTAAGGCCCTTTATTCGTCCTATCCAAAGCAGTAGATATAAGCATAATTTTGAGAACTACTACTAAATTGCTGATGCTAACTAACTATGCAGTGTTATGCAGCACTACTGTTGAATGGTGCACCATCTAGTGAGTTATCAAACTTTCACAATGACTACATTTATTTTTCAATGCTATGTACTTAATATTCATACAGTAATGCAAGAAAGTTTTTAAACATCGCATGTTTGAACCGTTTTATTAAATTTAATCAGCTTACTATAATGAGTTCCCTATCGAATACGCTATTTTTGTTCTTTAACCTTTTATTATTGTGGCAATTCACGTGCTATACTGTTACTGTTTACTGAGTTTAGCTTGCATTTGCATTTGCGTGCGCCAGCCAAGAAAATGTCATGAAACAAGATACCAACGTGTTACGTGAACATAGAACATGCGTGATGGTTAACTTTATATAGCGTTGTGGCGATGCGTCGAGGTTATGAGTTAGTTTTTTTTATCTGTTGCGAATCTAATTTGATCAGATATACGGTGCTAGATAGTGTTACTGTAGAGTGCACTGTGATTAACGCGAAGGATTTTGGAGCTGTATCTTACTCTCTGATTGAATTCACCGTCCGTATACACGAATCAATACTGTTTGTCGTGCTGATGTGGTTCATGCCCATTCACAATCAAAGCGGCCCGACACTTATTATAATGTAAATACGAACGACCCTTCAAAGCCAAGCGGAGCTCGATCTCGCTATCTTAGACTTGTCGATGCCTACATCGTAGCTATTCATCGAGTTCTTCTAAAGGTTTGTATAGCTTGGGAAGTACACAAATGAATTCACGTCTTGTGTCTATACACGAATTGTATGCGCGCCGAGTGAGATATGGCGGAAAGTCTATTTGTTATCGCAGTGATAAATTACTTCTGCAGCGGCGTAGCTTTGGCAGGATTTCTTCAGGAGTCATTAGTGATGAGCCATCTGTCACAGTGTGGGGTTATAACGCCGATATTCTCTCTGATAGATCATAAGATATAGATAATTTAATAGGCTGTACAGTAGACCTACAGCTCTCGCAACCACAGAGGTCGAATCCCCTATTTCATTTTCGCCGACAGGTTATCGATTGATTGACGCACCGCAATCAAAAGATCGATACGATGAAAAAACAGTCAATTCGCTCTCCCACGCTGTACTTGCTAACAAATTATTCTGATATATGCGATTATTGTAAATGCTGAAAGCGTGAATAAATGTTTGAAATCCTAAGCTTAAAATTCAATTCAAGATTATCTTCGTCCTTGTTTGAAGCTCGAATACGTATATTGCGCATCGGAATCCCTGCATCGCGCACCGACAGTGAGAACGCGGCGTCTGTGTGCGCGTGACGAGCTAATAAACATATATAATGATGTTATGCGTCATTTGATCAACAATACATCCACGCGTGTAATGAGTCCCTGTTGATACTAGTTGTAGTGGCAGGGAAGGTTTTGTACGAACGCCATCCCGTCGCGCGCGTATTTAATTGGCATGAATTCTGCTTGCAATGCTGCGGCGGCATCGCTGGCAATTAAATATGCACGCGACACGGCAGTACAGTTTTTGCGTTGCTTTCTGGTTAGAACTCTTATGAGGGGTGGGGAGGAGGGATTGCAGAAATTGCATATATTTTTAATTTCAGTCTGAACCGATTTGTCGAGTCTGTATTGATAATCCTGAAGCATCTCAGATCGTTCCTCGCGCAGAAAATTCACTCTGTGGGCTATATAATCACACACGATTATCGGTAGCTAAATCAAACGGCATCGTTAAAGTAGACATATCTACGTCAACATGCATTATTACTAGAAATTCATTACATTAGATGATTTAATAAAATAAAAATTGCACTGCGATTATAGATTGCGAATACCGCATGTGAATAAGATTAAGAATAAACGTTAAATATGCATGATCACGAAGTTTACAATAAGCCAATTTCGCATTTCGAAAAATGCGATACGTTACGGAATGGTTCACGGCTTATCAAACGCCGCTATCGCGCGATGACAGTAACTGTTCTTTTGTTTTCCTATTCAGCTTGCCGTTTCCATGGCTACTGTACAGCGCCATCAACCTTGGCGAGCCGGTGATCGTGAATAGCAAGGGCATGCTCTGCTCGATCATCCTTCTCTGTTTGATGCTGCTGATAGTCATAGTGAGCATCGCGGCGTTCCAGTGGAGAATGTCCAAGCATCTAGGCCTCGTCATGTTCTTTCTCTACACGGTGTTTGTCACCCTGAGTCTGCTAGTGGAGTACGAATATATCCCTTGCCTTTGAACGACGACTCGTCACTCGAGCCCTCCCTGGTAAGCGGCTAGCGCTGGCAGCGCTCGCGGCGGCGGCGAGTGTAAGTTGAATTCGGAAGCTGTCATGGATGCGGCGACACCGCGCATGCACTTCACATGATCATCGTCGTCAGATGGCGCTGGCAACGCACTGGTGTGTCAATCGATCTCGTGAGAATTTTGAAGGAGGGATTTTGTCGGGAATCAGGATCTCACCATTTGTTTACGGAAGCCAAAATTCAGGAAAAATGAATACATTTCTGTGGTCTAACTGTATGTGAAGGAGCGTCCTGGAGATTTTCTCTAGCAGAAGGCCGCACGTACGGAGATTATAGGAAGTATAACACGTGTTGACACGCTGAGTTTATTCAGGCGAGGCTCAGAGCAGATGCACTGATATTTGATTGCTAACGAGACGTGCATATCCGCGTGTTGTGTATTTAGTGAGAGCGGTGGATAAACTGATCTCAGTGAGGAATGACATTGAGACGAAAAATACAGAGGCAATGAGGCAGGACCTTCTTCGTGCAGGGGTGACGATGCAGAAAGACAAGCGCCATCTGGTGATGCATACGAATGCGTCTTCGATTGTATTTAACTACTGTTACTTCGCGTTGGTTGTTATAATACCGCGCGTACTCATATGTCTCCTTGCTATGCCTGTACAGTCGGTTGGGATATACGCGATCATTGCAGGACCATTCCAGAACACTAACTAATCACTTTTTAGTAGATTACCATTAGTTTTAGTTGCTTTCCTCACTTTCGTGGGTGAGTGTTAACGCGTAGTGAGACTATGCGGCGAGTGTGGGCGCGAGAGAATATCTGTCGCACGCTAATGTTGATAGTTGCTTGTGTCGTGCGTGATGCGAGCACGGTGCCACGCAACTTCATCTTCATCATATCAGTTCTGACCGACCAGCTGCTATCACCGTGGGCGGACGCGTGATATTGTGCGAGTGACAAGTGACATATAACGCGTGCACGTAGACCATCGCTGTCAACACACGCGACAGTGATGGCGTGACGCGCACAGTGATATTGTGAGGCGCGCAGATATATCAGTCGTAGCGGAGAAATTAGTGGGTCGCGTGTGTTTTACCCGCAGCTCATTATTTTTGCCGCACCTGTCACATGTAAACCTGCGTCTGCATGGCTGCCTGGCGGCGGTGGTTTCCTTTTAAGTAAACATCCGCATAAGTAGCGTAGCTGTGCTGCTGTCGGACCGTCATCTAGTCAGGCAACGTATGATAAATAGCAAGTCATCGGGTTCCGGAGGCGCAGTCGTTGTTTCTGGGAAGTAGGATTGTCAGCGTTCTTTCTGGAAGAGACTTTATCATCAGTCCCGGGGCAAGGGACGTTGTCATTGTTCCTTCTGGGTAGGGGACGTTGCCATCAGTCCCGGGACAGGGGACGTTGTCATCAGTCCCCGGACAGGGGGCGTTGCTATCAGTCCCGGGACAGGGGGCGTTGTCATCAGTCCCGGACAGGGGGCGTTTCTATCAGTCCCGGCAGGGGGCGTTGTCATCAGTCCTGGGGCAGGGGGCGTTGTCATCTGTCCCGGGGCAGGGGGCGTTGCCATCAGTCCCTGGACAGGGGGCGGTGTCATTAGTGCCGGGGTAGGGGGCGTTGTCATCAGTCCTGGACAGAGGGCGTTGTCATCAGTTCCCGGACAGGAGGCGTTGTCATCAGTCTCCGGACAGGGGGCGTTGCCATCCGTCCTTGGACAGGGGGCGGTGTCATCAGTGCCGGAGTAGGGGGCGTTGTCATCAGTGCCGGGGTAGGGGGCGTTGTCATCAGTCCCGGACAGAGGGCGTTGTCATCAGTTCCCGGACAGGAGGCGTTGTCATCAGTCTCCGGACAGGGGGCGTTGTCATCAGTCCTTGGACAGGGGGCGGTGTCATCAGGCCCGGGACAGGGGGTGTGGTCATCAGTCCCGGGACAGGGGACGTTGTCATCAGTCCCGGGACAGGGGGCGTTGTCATCAGTCCCGGGACAGGGGACGTTGTCATCCAACTCAATGGCATCCTCGATTATTGATACATTCTATACTACCATCAAAAACATAGCTTGCGAAATATCTACTGCTATTAGATGCTTAGATTTCTTACGGAAGCAGAAAAGCCAGCCACGAACAACTCAGCACGAACCACAGCACACAATGTAGACTGTTAATCCTACACAGTTCTTGCAGACTTTAGGTTTTTCCGGGTGTATACGAAACAATACGGTCACGAACAACGCAGCATGGCACACAATCTAGACTCAATCTTATCTAGACTCTGCTCATCCGACACAGTAATTCTAGACTATTGAACTCTGTGAGCGTATACGCGCGTACGTGACCGTCTACATGCGTGGGTAGAGCAGGAAAAGGGTATCGCATACACAAGCTGAGCGGTGAATAACGTAGGGCGGGGAGTTCAGCGACGGACATGTATTGAGGATGCGTCATTTGTCGATAGGAAATTGGAAGGCGTGCTCCTGCCGACTTCGGCTCGGCTTGCACCTGCAGTCGACGCACTGGCGATCTCCTCGTCGCGAGATCGTGCACAAACAGACATGTCAGGCCCCGGACGAGCGAAACAGAGACGCACGAGAGCAAATTCTATATAGCAGCCAACGTTTACTGGTCGCAGGCAGTGTCACGGAGTAATTGCTCTGTGAGATATCACGGTGTGTGTGTTGTAGAAGGAAGGCAAGAGAAAGAGAGAGAGCACGAGATAGAGAGAGAGAGAGAGAAAGAGAGAGAAAGACAGCGGGACAGAGAGATTGTGTGAGAGAGAGAGAGAAAGACAGCGAGACAGAGAGATTGTGTGTGTGAGAGAGAGAGAGAGAGAGAAAGAGAGAGATAGTGAGAGAGAAAAAGACAAAGAGACAGAGAGATAGTGAGGGAGAGAGAGAACGTGTGTGTGTGAGAGAGAGAGAGAGAGAGAGAGAGAGAGAGAGAGAGAGCTGCGCCGATGAAGTGCCGTTTCGACATTTGGCTTCGTGTGGCCGACATACGGCTCTAGAAGGGAAATGCGAGAAACTGTAAGGGGGTTATTGTCATTTTCTCTCGCAACACTCGAATGTTCTGCTGAGGCACAGGAGATCAATGATGCCAAGGAGGAAGTTACTCATCCTCTCTTTCCCCATCTCCCTATTTCGCTCCACCGTTCGATCCTTTCCCATACTTTCTTCCCTCCCCCCCTCTCTCTCTCTCTCTCTCTCTCTCTCTCTCTTTCTCTTTCTCTTTCTCACGCCCTCCTTCTCTCTCTACAAGTATGGGGATATCCATTGCGATCGAAACTTGATGATTATTACAATCACACGAATAATAGCAGCGACATGGCAACAAACCCGGATGTCCACCATGCTTCTAGGAATGGAGGAGGCGATAACTCTATCGTTCACCGAGATCTGAGTCGTCCTATAGCTACTAACCCGTATTATATCTGCACGAAATGGAATATAGGTTTTAAGATATTTCTTCACGAAATGGATCCCAGATCTATACTATACGTCTATACAAATGAGTGCGAGTTTCCCAATTCGGCAAGCGTGGTTGGAATGTAAGAATCTGCTACAAACATCGGCAGAGTAGTCATTATGTGAAATATATTCAACCCTTGAATATTTCTTTGCGGTCGCAAGTAATAGCGCCTGAACCGCCGCATCGTAGCTCCTGTTATTAGAGTTACTCTTTCTATATCCTATTGCATGCGTCATTTCGAAATTCAAATATGAAATCCCTGCGGGGGAAGCCGGAGTCGTGCGCGTGCTTTCTCTGCCACCGACGGTCGTACCAATAAATACTTGTTTATCGACTTGGTGCCTGCATGCTATACGAAATACCGCAATTTGATACATGGCCGATGCGTCGATGTACACCCCACTGTGACCATTCCTGGAAGACGATTACTAATAGTTACATCTAATTAAGTATACATCCTGTCGACAGCAATGGCAAATCCAGCAGAATCACGTAGTGAAATTTTTCGTCACACAGTGACCTTTCAGTCTCGTTAGTATAATAATTATTTAGGATGTGCATGACAAACTGTCAAATGACAATGTCATGCATGCAGCCTTTATACACTATTATTGTAACCCGCTACCCTGTGTTAGCGGTCACTTCTACAGAACGGTCACTTGTCCGTAGATATTGATAATCTCATATAGCGGTCACTTTTACAGAACGGGCACTTGTCCTTAGATATTGATAATCTTATATAGCGGTCACTTCTACAGAACGGGCACTTGTCCGTAGATATTGATAATCTCATATAGCGGTAACTTTTGGGGTGTCGTTCGAGTAACATGAATCAACCGTACACGCACTCTCAAATGCGAGCATATATATATTCGTATATATATATATATATATATATATATATATATATATATATATATATATATATATATATATGAGGGGCGATGTCACGAGCTGCGCGGACGTGGCACGTTGTTTCTATAGCAGGCGATATCTGTGAAATTGATGATTCAGCGGTACACACCGTAAGGCACGCTGTGTATTTTTATTGTCAAGCAGAGACGCACGCTGATAGCGAAAATATATTTCAGATTATGATATATGGTCACTGCTGCGGCGTATAGGCAAGCATCCCCCGTCTGAGCCATGAAGCGTCCACCCGCCACACGACACGCCAGTTGTTCGGCTACTCGCGTTATGTAGTTACGTAGACCTTATTTAACGGAGTGACTGTTAATTCTGACATTGAATTCAGATTTCTCACACAATTCATCCGCCTATACTGCCGATAATTCGTGTTTCCATGAAGAAACGTAACGCCTTTTCTACACGGGCTGCACAATTTAACATGTCTTAGAAGCCTTTTTGAGAAATCAATTCACGCCCGATAATATTTCTTATATTAAAC